CCCCCCCCCTCTCTCTCTCTCACAGTCGGACGTTGCGTCGCTGGAATCGCGTCTGTCGCAGAAACTGTCGCACTGCTGTGAAATCAGTGACATTTTATTGGCTGGTTCTGCTCCTCGTCTTCCTCAACACCTCTCTCAGTGCGTCCGAGCACTACAACCAACCTGACTGGCTGACAGAAGTCCAGGGTAACACACACACAAACACACAAACACACACACACTCACATATTGTCGACATACTGTTGAACTTCTTTTTCTGCATCAGATTCTGAAACAAATCTGTGACGTCATCAAACAAAAACACATGACGACGTGAACACATGAAGAATCTTTTACTGTCTTTGTAAGATGACCTTGGGTGACTTGAAAGGCGCCTCCAAATAAAATGTATTATTATTATTATTATTATCATTAAGTGAACACATGAATCAAACTGTCTCTTCAGACATCGCCAACAAGGTGCTGCTGTCTCTGTTCACGTTGGAGATGCTGTTGAAGATGTACAGTCTGGGTCTGGCTCATTACTTCGTGGCGTTCTTCAACCGCTTCGACTGTTTCGTGGTGTGTGGCGGCATCGTGGAGACCATCCTGGTGGAGTTGGGCATCATGCCTCCTCTGGGGATCTCCGTGCTGCGCTGCGTCCGCCTCCTGCGGATCTTCAAGGTCACACGGTGAGAAAACACACCGGAACCTGAACGCATCTGGATCCAGGTTTCAGGTCTCAGTCTCATTTAGGAACAAATAAACTAACACACTTTATAAAAGTGTGTTTTCATTGTAATTCACTGTTGATGTTCTCTTTGTGTTGATGAAGATGTTTTATCAAAAATATGACCAAAGAAATATGTCGCTCTGTGTCTGCTCAGCCATTGGACGGCTTTGTCCAACCTGGTCGCGTCCCTACTGAACTCAATGAAGTCCATCGCCTCCCTGCTGCTCCTCCTCTTCCTCTTCCTCATCATCTTCGCTCTGCTCGGCATGCAGCTGTTCGGAGGAAAGTTCAACTTTGACGAGACGCAGACCAAACGCAGCACGTTTGACGCCTTCCCACAGGCGCTGCTCACCTGCTTCCAGGTAACACCCCCCGCTGGTGTTATTCTGAGGTCATGTGGCGAGTTAGAGGCGTGTGGGAGGCGTGTCACTGACGCTGACTGTGTTTTCAGATCCTGACAGGCGAGGACTGGAACGTGGTCATGTATGACGGCATCATGGCGTACGGCGGCCCCGTGTTTCCAGGGATGATCGTCTGCGTTTACTTCGTCATCCTCTTCATCTGTGGAAACTGTATCCTTCACTGTGAGGCGTTCACTGGACACAGGAACATCCGGTCTTTACTCATTCATTCATAAACCATAAACTGTCAATAAGGAATGACGACATGACAGCTCCAAAAAGTGAAGCCAAATCATGTAGATCGCTCCCTGGTGGCTGGCTGCAGTATGTCTCCTCCATGTCAGCAGATGGGACATGGACTAAACTAAAAAAATCAAAGTAGACATTAAATGAAAGTTTCTGAAAGATGGTCTCCTTCATTCTAGGTATGAACTATGCTGCATTCAAGCTTAACAACTTTACGAATGATTTTAGTGTGTGGTGTTTTATCCTGCACCGCGTTTCATGTTCTTAGCGTGTGTCAGACATCCTGCTGAACGTCTTCTTGGCCATCGCCGTGGACAACCTGGCTGGCGGAGATGGAGACGACAAGAAGAAAGAGTGAGTGATGGAGGGGGGAGGCAGGGGGAGGAAGAAAAAGGAGGATGAGAGGGTGTTCACTTCCTGTTGTCCTGTTTTTCCTGCAGTAAAAAGGAGGGAGCGGAGGAGGAGGAGTTGGAGGGGGAGGAGGAGGTCGAAGACGGAGAAGTGAAGGTTTGTAATAAGTACATGTACTTCAGTACAGTTTGTTCTGACTCATCTCTTGTATTCAGTCTGATCCTCTAACCTGATTATGATCAGAATATAATGTTTGACTGGAGAGAGGACGTGATTGGTTCTTCCATGTTTACTGCAGGTGGACATTGACGAAGACACCGAGTATGAGGAGGAAGAGGAGCTTCCTGAAGGAGAAGACGGTCAGTTCCAATTTCAGTCACGTATCAAACATGAGATCCATCAGAACAGAAATGTTATACATGATGATATACACACATGATACACACATGATATACATTTCCTTCTCCTTGCTCGTCAGATGCGGGGGTCCAATTAAAGATGGCCGACCTTGCTCCACCTAAAGAGAAGGTCCTTCCAATCCCAGAAGGCAGTGCGTTCTTCTGCCTCAGCAACACAAACCCGTAAGTCTATTTACGACATGGACCAGTGCTGCCTCCTGTAGCTGAGTAACCCGACAACCGTCATGTTCCAACAGAACCTCCATCATAAAAGAGACATTTGTTTACAACGTCTCTCAAATAAATTAGTTAGTATTGAACAACTCGATGCTTTGACAGACTGACGGAGGATTTTAGCAGCTGTGGACACTGTGTGATGTCTCTCTGTCTCTGTCCCTGTCCCCAGTATCCGTGTGGCCTGTCACACTCTGATCCATCACCACATCTTCACCAACCTCATCCTCGTCTTCATCATCCTCAGCAGCTGCTCATTGGCTGCTGAGGATCCAATCAGAGCCCACTCCTTCAGGAACAACGTGAGTCAATGCACATTTGATGGTTTTAATGAGCGACAGACACAAACGTGCTGCTGGTGTCGTGTCGACACAAGTTTAATCTCTGCAGTTAGAATCTAATGTAATTTAAAGAAACTAGCATTGATGCTAGGTCGCTGATGATGTCATCAACACGCCTTGGTGGTTTGAGCTAGGGGCGGGGCTTCAGCAGATTACACAGCAGAAGTGGGTCAGTGACTAACCGGGTTAAAGAGGAAAACGCATGGAGACACAGGAAAAGAGAAAATCACCAGTTCACACACACACACACACACACACACACACACACAC